AATATTGTGCATAGAAAAATATTAATGTTCCTCGTGCAAAATAACATTAAACTTAAATATATCTACTAATTTTCATTCTGATTCAACGATACCTTCCGTAACACGAACAAAAATAGTAAGCAGTCTTTAATTTTCCGCCCCAAAGTTACTGTCGCCTTCAAAAAGGGCAATTAAATACACAAACGCCTTCTCGGATTAATAACTCCGCTGCTTTTTAGGTCAAGACGTCGAGAAACCATAAAATAAGTTTCGCTGTACACACTTATAGCGTTTTATACTAATTTCGTGATGAAAATCTTCACGAACGTATTTACGATTTCGGCGGTTCTCAGATCGCGTGAAAGGGACACCTTTTGCGTCACGTACAGTAAATAAGATTAATACGTATTTTGTTAATCGCGTAAAGACACATATACAACGGCGTTGAAGCAACGAGTTGAGCTTTTGAGCTCTTCATACTTAAATATGCAACGAGCAGCGTTTTTCCAGGAAATTTGAAGCATTGAAAATCTGCATAAAACGAATGAAACTGAAATTAATTGATTATTATTTAGATAATAATTTTGCTCGTACCTGGTACCATTCATCGGGAATCGAGGAACAGAGACGAGTTCACGTTTTTGAAAGACCAGTTTGCTCGTTTGATCGCGTGGACTCGGCCGTGGAGTTAGTCGTTTGCACGGGATTTGGAGTAATTAGTCTCTTCGCGTTGTTCGCATGAAACGTTTTAATTAACTGCGACATTGAGACCGACGCAATTACGGCGGAAAAACTTGGTTTACCTCGTCGCAGAAGTTTCATATTTTCTGATTTCCAGCCTCCTCGGGCTCAACCTTAACGATTTACTTGTCGCGCGCACTGGCTGCGACTTGATTGAGTTATGAAATTGCGCGAAAAATCTTGCGATTGCCGTTGGAACGTTCCCCTCTCGCTACCCTGTACATTTAATTTGCATTGGGGAAATTCAGTTTTACCGCGCTCAAAATTTAGTTACAACATTTAGAAATGATATTCGTTTTAATAGCCGCTCCTAGCTTCAATTTCGTCGGTCCGGTAATTTTATCCCCCCGGAATTTATATTTATTCGCGTAACGGCGTAATTGGGTGTGCATTCTCGACGCCGTTTTACTTCTGAGTCGGTCGTTAAAGCGATAGTTTCAAAAATATCGGTAAAAAATAAAAAATTTATTATCGTGCAAGCTCCTCTCGAGATAGAGAAACTTTTAAATTATTAATACAATAGTTATATAATTTCTGGAATAAAACATCGCGAGATGTCTATAAATTTGTACATATTTTTGTTTTTTTTAGATACACGTGCACATTGCAAACATGTGGCACTACAGTGCGTAACAAAAAGTTGTACGCACCCACTTTTTTTCGATTATCTAAGGAACGAGTTGTGATCCATGGATGAAACTTTTATACAATAAAGAGCATCTAAAAACACACATTCTTATTATTTGTATCATCCAAATTGGAGCACATGTTCCCGAGTTGTGCAGTCGGAACAGTTTTCGGCTGGAACGAAAAGTTGTACGCACTTAATAAAACATTGTTGTAGAATCAGACTGGAAATAGACGAACGTCTTTTGTCGTTACAATATCGTCACTCGTCTTTTGTCGTTGCGATATCGACGCTCGTAGTTCTGATTCTACAACGATGGGAAGTGGTGCGAAATTATCCGTGGAGGAGCAGAACCGTGCATGGGAAATGTACGGTCGCGGACAGTCAATGAGACAAATTGGAAGAGAACTTGGTAGATCTGATGGAGTAATTAGAAACCTCATCAGATTACGTGAAAATTATGGAAAGAAGAAGTCTCCAGGGCGTCCAAGAAAGTTGGATGAGCGATCACTTCGGAGGATCAAGAAGCTGGCCACGGACGGGAAGATGTCTACACGCCGGATTTCCGCGGAACTGAAGAACGAGGTATCCCATACAACTATTAGAAGAAGATTAGTTGAAGATTCCAATATCAAATATCGGAAAATCACCAGAAAACCAAGAATGAAATCGCATCATAAAGAAGCCAGGTTGGAGTTCGCACGGAAATACCATGCGTGGACGTCCGAATGGAATAATGTGTGGTGGTCCGATGAAAAGAAGTTCAATCTGGATGGTCCTGATAGATGGGACTACTGCTGGCAGGATACCAGGAAGGAACAACCCCGGAAGGTCAGACGGCAAGTCGGCGGAGGAAGTGTTATGATTTGGGACGCGTTCAAACTCGGGAAGAAATCGCGGATTGCATTTCTAAGCGGTCGACAGGCTTCGAAGGACTACATTCGCACTCTTGAAGTATTCCTTTTGCCTCATATGGATGATGGAGATACTTTTCAGCAAGATAATGCCGCTATTCACCGTTCGAAAGAGACCCAAAAGTTTTTCGCGGACCAGAATATCGCGGTTTTGGAGTGGCCGGCTATAAGTCCGGACCTGAATATTATTGAGATGTTTGGGGAATTATAGCCAGAGATGTGTATAAGGATCATCGACAATTCGAAACCATTGCTGGCCTACAGGACGCAATAATCGACGCTTGGAACGAGATCACACCGGAAGTCCTCAAAAAACTGATCCAAAGTGTTCCGAGGAGACTCCTTTTAGTATTAGAAAATAAAGGAGGTCCCATTAATTATTAAAACACTGTATCCATCAATAAAATGCGTCTTATATATTACTAAATTAATTTTTTATTAAGTGCGTACAACTTTTCGTTCCAGCCGAAAACTGTTCCGGCTGCACAACTCGGGAACGTGTGCTCCAATTCGGATGATACAAATAATAAGAATAGGTGTTTTTAGATGCTCTTTATTATATAAAAGTTTCATCCATGGATCACAACTCGTTCGTTAGATAATCGAAAAAAAGTGGGTGCGTACAACTTTTTGTTACGCACTGTAGTATATTGTTCCGTCAAGCATGATGGATGACTGAGGTTTGCATGAGGTATTTTCTCAGACAAATTGTGGCCTTTTGTCATTTTAAGCGTAGGTACTTACTTTGTCGTAGTTGAGACAAAACTGAATCGTAAGATTAAAAATTGTATATTATATTTAGGGCTTTAGAGCTAATAATTTTACAAATTAAATAGCCTATACTTTCGGTATAATTTCATCTGGAGCGGACAGAAATAAAGTCTTTTGCACACACAAGTTCTTTAAATTATTCACGCGCGATTAGAGCGTATAAAACAGTTATGGTTATCGTAACAAAGTTATGAGTTGAAATACCAAGGACAGGATCATAACATCAGGATAACAATCTTCGTCCATTGTTTGCTCGGATTGCCTGTAACCTTATCCAATACGATTTTCTAAGCACGCGACACGCATCGTTACTTGACTTATTATCACTCTTTAAGCCGGGGCAGGCCAATGATTAAATCTGCGACAATCGAGCTTCGAAACTAGCCATTCGACGATTGTTTCATAGACGAGAAGTTAGACTATTAGCTTAATATTTATAGCTAAACTTTACATGCGCTCCACTTTCAAAATTTGATTAAATTTCTAAATAAATCGAAAAGTCGAGGTTCGAGGCTATTTCTGAGGTACACGATCAATTCTTTATATGTATCTTAATCTATCGGAAACGTGTCAAGATTCCGTGACACCGTTGAATACAGCGGACAATAAATATTTTCCAACGTCGGAAAGGGGTTAATAATTAAGGGAAGTTTGTCAAGTGTCCGATTACTACGACAGCTGTCCTTTAACCCCGTGGTAGATTCTCGGGGAACGGTGGAAAGATATAAGACGGGGCGGCGGGATTGTTCGATCCTCCGGGTCGAGAAATCAAGAATTTAGCACGATACGCCGAGCGTCCGCGGCATCGTCTCCTGAGGAACGGGACGCCTGGCATCTCGGCCGAGCAGCCTCGAGTTTGTAGCCACCATCTAAGTTTAGAGGTAGCGCACGAGAGCGGCGCATACCTGCTCGCCCAGAAGCCTAAGCGGTGACATTATCGTGGGGTCAGAGCGTGTCAAGGAAGACACGAGATCTGGCTGGACACACAGAGGCTACGAACACGCAACTAATTATAGGCTCGAGTACACCGTGTCCCGCGTGCGGTCTTGTCGAGAGTTCCGCAAAGAGAGGATGCCTATTGCAGCGGCTGGCTTTGTGCCCCGGAATTAGCCATCGGCTACGCGATTATAATCCGATGAAAATTAGCGGACGCTACCATGGAATTTATCGCCCGAAATCGTGACCTCTCGCGACCACTCGTGATCTCTTTATCAACATCTGTGCGTGCACGATCGCTCGAAAGTATTGATTCGATTTCAATACACTTCTTCGGAACGATGATGGAACAACCCCCTCTCGATGTATGGAAAATATTATGTGCAGATCAGTTCTTGAGATTTGGGCAGGAAGACATTTCGCGATTGCAGAATATTTGTTTTTCACTTTCAATGGTATTTTCGTGATAATAAAACAAATAAAAGTCGCAAAAATTGCCGGATATAGGTAACATCGAATCCCGACGCGAAAATCGCGTTTGGTCGAGCATTGGACAGTGATATGCTCGCGAAACTGATGGCTGGAGAGATTCCCGCATATTTGGTCGTGTAATTGGGTGCTAGCGAGTGATTTTCAAGTGTCAGGAGCACGCGTATCGCGGCGCAGCACCGAACGTTTAACATATTTCCGCTATCGATGGTCGAGCGCGGTGGTATGTCGAATATTCGCGCATCGAAAGACGAAATTGCAACGTGGATTACGTTCCGTTGTCTTTCCCATTATAACGCGAAATTTATCGCGCGTCCGAGGTGCCGTAAATTCATTAGTTGATCGAAAAGGTGCACCCGGGCTCCGGAACAGCTGGTATTTATGACTGGTTCGCAGCGTCGCGTCGCCCGGTCCCCGGGGAATAGAATAACCCAGAAGCGTAATCAAGCGCACGTTTCGAAGTTTATGGTTCGCGTTGCGTTCGAACGTCGTAAATGCTTACGGACTGTTCTCTAATGAGAACGTTATACCTTCTGTTGCAGGAGGTGGGAAGCATCATAGGGAAGAAAGGAGAGATCGTCAAGAGGTTCCGCGAAGAGGTAAGTCGCTAACAGATGCCTTACAGCGTTACATTCCCGTTGAAAGAATCATTTCAAAGTGATATTCTTCAAAGAATGTAAAAAAAAGAGTTCATTTGTCAACGTCCAAATTAGTCATACTCGATGTATTCTAATCTTCCAGAGATAAGATTCTAAATATGTACATGAGACTTTGCATTCGAGTTTGCAATTTGTTGTTCGAGGTCTCTGTTACTCGGTGTGACTGCCCACGGTCGGCTTATCTTTAGTTTACAAACAACAGACATCTTACGGATGGTTTTCCCCCCATTTTAAACGTACAGAAAGCTAACATTCTAACAGAAGTTCAAATGAATTTAAGGATATAGATTCTTCTCGTCGTAAATAATTTTGATTTAAAACTGATCGTTCAAGACCACTTAGAGGGTTGTTCCTACATTTGGACACGTCCACGCTATATATCTAAAGGCACGCCCACTGTCTCGTAAACACTGAGGGGAGCTAGTCAGTAGTGCTACTGATTCGAATATGGTTCTTTTACGATGTAATTAACGAAATTAGTTACTCGATATAACTCTATAAAAACAAAAATAATTCCATCTCTACTTTCATGGAATAATGCAGAATTCTGAGTTTAATCGACCAAGGCAAAAAGATGTCTCCTAAGTGGATTTTTGATTGACTCCTTTTTTCTCTGCTTCAATAAAAATCGTGTCATTACATTATATTAGTGTCGGGAAAGTAGAAATAGAACGGTGGGCGTTGTCAAACGAGGTAGTGGGCGTTCTTAAATGATGTGGTGGGCGTTCCCAAATGATGTGGGAGTGATAACCCCCTGTCACGACTGGCATAAAAAGTCCCAAGTGGATTCTTTCATTGACTCCCTCGCGGTTCTATCAATTTTCTGCGTGTCAGTGACATCGGTGTACAACATGATCTTGTCCGTTTGTTACAGTCCGGTGCAAAGATCAACATCTCCGATGGATCTTGCCCAGAACGAATAGTAACCGTAACCGGGCCAACGAATTCGATCTTCAAAGCGTTCACCTTGATCTGCAAGAAGTTCGAGGAGTGGTGTTCGCAATTCCACGACATCCAGGGTGGCGTAGGCGTGCCGAGGCCGCCAATCACGCTCAGGCTCATCGTGCCCGCGTCGCAGTGTGGCTCCCTCATCGGCAAAGGGGGCTCGAAGATCAAGGAGATCCGCGAGGTGACTGGCGCGTCGATTCAAGTCGCCTCTGAGATGCTGCCCAATTCGACGGAACGTGCAGTAACCATATCTGGTACCAGCGAAGCCATCACGCAGTGCATATATCACATCTGCTGTGTTATGTTAGAAGTACGTACCCCGGTAGTACGTCCTTTCGTCGATGTCGCCCTGGTCCCTTCAACGTTTCGAAAATCCACAATTTTTACGAACTTTGTCAGCAATAGAGCAATCCTAGCGTCATTTACTGATTAAAACGAAAGCTGTTCCTTGTTCGTAAATTAATCGAAAGTACAAAATTAAGTCAGTAAGGCAACAAAGCCTTAGTAAGTAACATTATTCCACGGTTTTGACTTATTTTCAAACAAGGAATCGCTTCCCCTGCAGATTGTGGCTCCCTAAACAATGAATCTCGCCAGTTCATATGTAATCTGGAAGGAAATCAATGAATGTAAAAATAACTCGGGAACATTATTCCGCGATTTGAACGACAGAGATATCTCGGTAATTCTGACTCATGCGGCGATAAAACGCCCCCTTTGTTTGCACGCAGTGATGATGAAAAATGTATCGAACAAATGAGAATCTCGGTGTTGCAACGAGGACTTACGTAGGAGATACAGACTGGCGGATTATTGGATAGGGTGATACGAATCCGGGTCTTTCGTTTATTTATTATTTATTTAAATGTAAATGGTAGCGAAGGGACCCAGGGCGACGTCCTCAGAACACGACTGGTTCAGAGTGCTGAAATCGGTGTATTCGCACTCGTGCGTGTGTGTCTTTCTGTTTCAGTCCCCTCCCAAAGGCGCCACGATCCCTTATCGCCCCAAACCCCAAGTTGGTGGGCCAGTGATCCTGGCTGGTGGGCAAGCCTACACCATCCAGGGTAATTACGCGGTGCCCGCCCACTCCGACGTAAGTACAGTATTGCCATTGCCCGCGCCCGCTGTCGGGCACACCCCGCCCTCGCTGAACACCCAAACTTTGACGACTTCGCCCTTCGCGGCCCACCCCTCCTCCTCGGCCTTCGCCGCTTCTCACGGGCATCCGCTCCTATCCACGGCCCACCTTACGACCCCACATCATCCTCTCCACCCGAGCCCCTTACACGCCAGCGTGGCAGGCCTCGCCGACCCCCTGCTGAAGAGTGGACACTTGCAGGCAGCCCTCCCGCCCGCACACCTCGTGGCAGACGCCGTAAGTCTTTTGTTTTTCGTGATCCACCCTCTCCCGTACCCCCCACGAGAATAACTACCACCAGACCCCAACCGGTACACCAACAAACCACGTGTATACAGACCGCGAGCGGACCTATTACTCCGAAACCCTCTCGATCACCGTAAGCCACCTGACCCCGTTCACCACGCTACACACGCTCACTCCGTGCTCCACTCGGATTACGAAACCCACCCCCGTCCGACGATCGCGGTAATTGGTGGAAGTCTGGACCCATTGTTTCGCGTACCGACTACCGAGGATGATTCTTCCCTGGCTAGGGGTACTACTTTGTTTTCTTCGGAGGGGTATGCGCTGATTCATCTTCGATACCCTCCTTTTTCAGGGGAGGAGGTGTTCGACGAATCACGAAGGCGAGGGTATTACTCATAAAGAAAACTCACGACCCCGGAAATTCTGGAATAGGAGTAGTAGGTGGTTCTTGGATATTTTTGGACGTTGGTATTAGGTACATAGCAAATTTTATGTGAATATATTCAGGGTCTTTCTGTCGATTTTGAACTTGGCGTGAAATGAATAAATATATCTCTACGTGGTTTAGATCTGTTAACTTATATTTCACATTTTGACGAGATAACTTCTGACACATCTATATTGCTTCAGAATTAAAGATTATAATGGCTACGATCCAATGTTATTGAATTTGACATTACAAGATTCATTCCTCATAATTTAGATTCTTCTTTTCCTTCTCGGTGAATTAGAAATTATTGGAAATTAATTCAGTAAAAAAAAAATACAAAAGATACCTCTAACGATAATGGATAAAGTTTATTTTGATTCCTAATTGCAATTTATACAAATTTTCTGTTAAGTTCTTTTAGTTCCAACATTCGATTTTAAATTTCACTTTCATGTAATATACGAACAATATTACTAGTCCAGAGGGCCAGTTTTAACATATAGTCTGGCACCAAGTATCTTAATATTCGTGACATTTATGTAGTGTTATATGAACTATAAAACAAGTTCTTCAAATTGCATCGTTCGTTTTTAAGCCTCATTTTCGTTCAATACTCTGACAATTATATTCGAATGGCATAGATTATTTAACGTTGAGATAGTAAAATTCAATTATTAGAAACGAGGACATAGATAATAAAAAAATTTAATTTCAAAAGCAATGTAAAGAAAATATTCAGAGTCCCAGGTTTAGTTCGAACGTTCAGTTTCCACCAAATGCCGCGGCGTCGCGTAGAATGTTTTACCCGCGTGTACCGGAATGCTCCACTGTTGTATAGGCCACCTGGTCCCCGTCCTAGAGAACCCTTTTCCCCACACCTACGTCCACATGCATGCATCCGGAACACCCTATAAGCTTTCTGATCGACGTTCCCCGTGTGCAGCTTCGAGCAAATCGTCCGGGAAAACAAGATTTCGCGCCGCGACGAATACGATTCCCGTTCCCCCGGATCGACGACGAGATTCGAGGCTCGAACGTCTTTGAGAAACGCTCGAACGGTTCGGGAAAACTCGAAGCTGTTCGCGGTTGCGTCGGAGTTTCCAAATCGCGCGACTTCACGAGGAATTCGCGTTCCTCAGAATCTATGGGAAACTGATGCGAATATTTCTAAAACGTTTCTGTTCGTCTCCTCGAGGCACGTGCTGCGAGGAACTGCAAAGATTGCGCCCGGACAACGTTCGCGAGTCGGTTTAATTTGCATCCAAGGGCGCTCTTTTCAGTTCCCAACAGTTCTAATTTATCTTGTATCAATTTAGAACGAACTTCTCTGCGATTCGATAAATTGTCGTGGTCGATCGTATCCGGTCGATAAAGTTTCCGACACTTTCTTTGAAGTCACGCGTTTGTACGTGCTTTGCTTTTTATGTGATCCGCACGTGTCTGTTACGTGTATCGGCCGTTTCTGGATTTTTCGTTTCTTTATATGTATATATACGTACGTATATATGTCCACCAATGCTTCTGACGTATTCCCAGCTGAGGTCTCTCGGTGTTATGTCTCTCCCTTTCTTATGCTTGCGATTGGTAGTGGGTTGTTTGCCTGAAAAACCGCTTGCCGTCCTTCACGGTGCCCAGATTAATTCGTTGCATGCGACATGGAATATACACGATCGTACAAAACGCGCGATAAGCACCACTGCTAGGAAACAGGAGCGTATTGCCGTTAACCGTGTCCATTTTTATCGATTCTGAGGTCGTTGCTGCTATCGTCGTGTGGAATACTCTTATTTGAATACTCGAATATTCGAATAATGGCGTTCGAATGCCCCAAAATGCAAAGTAGTGCTTGTTTATTCGGATACAAATCGAAAAGCAAGTAATAAGAAATAAAACCTTATGTTAGCTGCACGTAACAACCGACAGACATGTTTAAATTGTAAAAGAACTCGTGCTGGAAGATATAATGAATTTAAGCAGAATGTACCATAATTAGACTAATCTTCTATTTATAATAACATACATTTTCTAAGGGTAGGAATTTTCAAAAAACACAACACGGTATTTTGTGATAACTCTGGTCTTATTTTGGCACGTACAATCATTTTCTTTTTAAATTGCCCACGTGCAGACATTTTTACATGGAAAATATCACGTTTTTGTGAGCGAACAAAGTAGGTCGGCATACATTATAGGTGCTGCTATTTCAAACATAAATAACGAGCAAAGTACAGTTCTGAAAACTATTCATATATACAATTTTTATAATTAAGCGTGTCCGAGGATTGGACAAGGTACATCTAACGTCCATTGTCCAGTGTACCATGGGTATTATACTTCATTCAGTACGTAAAAGTCTCAGAACTTGAATATACTTTTTAACCAAATACATACTCTGTGGACTAGCGATAATAAATGCCACACACCGCGTAGGCAGTAAATTCCTGAACAGAGAAATTCATGTTGCTATTGACGCACGAGCCGTTTTTCAATCTCGATTCTAATTTTGTGTAACAACAATAATCGTAACAATTCCTTATCGCGCGAAATTAAATAAAGTATAGCAACAAGTTAATAAAGGAGATAAGAAACAATACATTTAATGTACAATTAGCCTAGAAACGCGAGATACGGTTAATTGTGTCGACGAACCTAACCTTGAGCATAGCAAAAGACAAAGAATAATCAACTCGAAGCAAAATGAAAAGTAAAAAGAAACTTTCAAAATGAATTTGATTGAAACACTGTAATTTATTTCTTTATTTACGATATTTCGATTAAAAAAGACTTGTAGCATAGTCGTAACAAGTAATTTATTATTTATTTACGGTTTCAATCGTCTGTGGTCAAGGTAAAATGATCTATACGGAGGAAAAAAAGTATGTAAATTGCATAATAAGGAACTACTATAAATTTACACTAGTCTTCACCTTAGACTATTTTATATGTGACATTAATTATCACGAATATTAACTTCATCACATTGATTTAAATTTTACTGTTTTTAGTACTTCCTACAATCTTTTTTCAAACTTAAGAAAACATACTATAGTTAGCTTTTAGGCCCCCAGAACTATATCGTTTGATTAATTTAGTAATATTGAAAATAATTACAACGATAAAGTTATCGATATTATACCAGAATTACCAGCACCAGGTGCACCTAATCTCTGTATACGATCAATTTTTTTTACTAAAGGTGGCAACAGCATCGATTTATCGTTTACATAGATTGTAATCAAGCTTCGTTACTCTTAGTAATTTACATCAATTATTTTATACTTCAATCCATCTAAACGTAACAAAAAACGCTCTTATTGGATAGTTCATCGTTGTATAATTTACGTATTTTGTCTTTTTAACGTACATCATCCTACCTCAATAATGGTAAAGATGTTCTCAACCGTTTATGAATAATAAATGACTCGTTATCAGAATTTATCAGATACTCGTTAATACAATCAAAACTGAATTACCTGATTGGTGTGATTGGTTATCTATTATTCGACTCTAATGTCATCGATAGTTCGATACCACAAACTTTATTCCGGAACAATTTCGGCAACCTCTTTCTCCTCCAACACAAAGAAAAGGCACTACCTTTTACGACTCACGAAAATAGCGATTCGACCTCGATTCCAATAACCCATGGTCTTAAACTTACGATCGATGTACCCCTGCAGTCGAATTGTTTTTTCCCCTTGGCATCCGTGCACGGACAGATATTTGTTGCTGCGAGATTAAACCGCGGTATTATGCAAATCGGCGACATAACGAAACGTCAAGTGGTCGATTGAAACCTGTTTATCGCCGCTGAAGTTTAACGACTCTCGAGGGCAGCGACTTTAATCGAAGCCGGTTTCAGAGTTTCGCTGGCCGCTGGTTTTTCGCTAACGCGCCTCGAACGTTTGTAAAAACCTTGATCCCCGTGAATAGCAGCAACGTCTTCTATATTATTCTTGGAACGACAGAGAAAAGAAAACTAAGTAAGAACATCCGTCGACGGTGGACAGTAGTGCTCGTCGCGTGTTCCATCGATACGTGACTGTGATCTATTCTAGAGAGAAAAAAGGATCGATCGTGGAAGTTGTCGGCCATATTGGGTCGAACGGTTACGAATAAAAATTGCTCCGCGTCCCTAATTCTGGACTGATCTTTCTTTCTCCTTGGAATAATACTCTTCGCGAGAATCGTATTAGACGAGAACCAGTTCACACACGAATGCAAACCACAAGCGTCTAGACACCAAAAGAGGACCGAAAGTCGCCACAGAGTGTCGCGTTTCTGTTCCGTCGACGGGTACGTGCGACGTTTCGTTTCGTTTCTTTCCGAATTTTCTGTGTCACGACGTTAAGAGCTCTCGTCCCCTGGTTTGGTCGGTACGATCGTCGTGGACGAGCCTCTCGTCGCTGGAAAAGAACTTCGCCAACTTTTCTCCCGAACGATCGAGCCTGCTTTAGCATGATCGCTTGACGGATAGCACGATGAATTCTTCGTCACGGCGTGTCGTTGAATTCGTTCGAACATGGAGCCACGGATCCTCCAACGGTCGCGATGTTGA